CCATTTGCAAAGATGGCTAGAATTTTGCTCAGCACCTGGGTTTATCTCAAGACTCCCAGTAACCTTAAAGCCTAGACCAAGATTTATTTCCGTCCCATACATTTGTTCTTTAAATCCTTTCAGTTTCATGAAGCCAAGAGTCAGGCATTTCTATAAACTGAGCATGACCAAATGTTTGGAGGTGCACAGAAAGTTCAGTTCTGACACCGATCACTTATTTCCTATTTTGATGAAAAATGTGATTAACAGACTGAAATATGGCATCATAGTTCATCCTGCTAACTTTATCTATTTTTCAAAATCTGATCCTTTTTTTTGACATTAACACAATTGTTTATCTCCGGAAAGCTGACAGGCATCCTTTCCATTCAGGTAATTCATATGTTTATAACTGAGCCAGCCTCTCAGAGAGATTATTTAATTCTGCTTTATCTCCCACACCTCTCATGCTATTGTATATACCCTTAGTGCTTTACTTTTCTAACCCTTTAAACATTCAACTTTCAGTTAATGTGCACCTAAATCCACCCTGGAGCTGTCCAGGCTTGAATGAGGATATCATACCAAATGGTCCTCTTGGACCAGTGAGTCGACCATTTCCGCCCATTTTGTTACCTGTCCCCCAGTGTCTTTTCTTTTCTTAGAGCACTCATAAATATACCGACTTGAAGTCCTCACACAGATTTCATTGCACATTTATCCTTGTGCAGCGCACCATTTGTGGCCCAGATCGTGGAACTACTTAGCCTTCCTTAATTTAAGTAGTTTTGTGGCATATGCATTGAGTGGCTCGGGTAAGATCTAGACTGCTAATCCCCAATACTGTCATTGCTGAGAAAGCACTGTAGGCAGGGAGAAGTGGTAGTATTATTACTTATCTTGTGCCTTAATCAAATATATGAAAAAGGAAATCTGAAATGAAAGAGAACATTAGTACTTAATATATACCAAGTAAAATTATATCATGCATCATTCATCTAAAAAGACCACTTAATCATTGTTTGGAGACTATGAAATTTCTAAATTTGTTTCTTTATTTATGGGTAATAGAGAACTATTCAGATAGATACATAGACATACATATGTACATACGTTAGAATATATATTCTATTACCTAGAATAGGACACGCGGGAACTATCAATCAAGTTGCATAAAATAGAAACAACACTTGAGCTAAGGTTGATCTAATATTATCTCTATTTTATTTTTTAAAAAATTATTTAAATTCCGTTCAGTTAACATGTACTGTATTATTAGTTTCAGAGATGGAATTTAGGGGTTCATCAGTTGCATTTAACACCCAGCGCTCATTACATGACATACCCTCCTTAATGCCCATCACCCAATTATCCCTTTCCCCCATCCACCTCCCCTCCCGCAACCCTGTTTGTTCAGTGTCTCTTATGGTTTGCCTCCCTCTCTATTTTCATCTTATTTTAATTTTTCCTTCCCCTCCCCTATTTTAACTGTTCATGTGGGGAAATACTGCCGTGGAAACAAGGTGGTTTTTGGAGCCAGATGAATCTTTGATAAAATCTGAATTCCTCACTTAACAGCCATGTGACTTTTGGCAAGATATTCTACCTCTCCAAGCTACAATTTTCTTACTGTTAAAATTAGGACTATATGCTGAATGTTACACAGTTTTGTTCTAATACAACATATGTGTTCATAAAAATCACTGTGCTATGCAAAATCACACAATAAAAACCACAGGGTTTATGGAAAAATAGGATGGGAGTATGACACTCAAAAACTTAATCAGTTACACATGAAAAAAAAAAGGAACCCAACAAAAATGTTAGGAGGGATGGCTAAGAAATACATAAACACTATAATTAATATAGTATTTTATCTTAAAAATACCTAAAGTTTACTTGTGGAAGTGGATGTCAGGAGGCTTGTGAATTGTTAGTTATTGTGAAGTGGTAGGAGAGTTTCTAAAATCAAATGGACAGTTATGATATGAGAAGTAAATGGGTGTGAACTGAAGTAGCTGGTCTATGTTTGAGGTGCTTTTATGTGTCAGTATTCCTACCTGGCTCAGTTCAGGCAGGTGTAGTTACTGCATTCTCTTAGTGTTTCCTGCAGGCAAAATTGCAGATAAGCATATTTTGTCCTTTGTCTTTTTTGACTCACACACTTGAAACACTTGTCTCTCTTGGTGTGTTAGTCAGCCTCCAAGATGGTCCCCAATGATCTCCACCTCCTGGTATTCACACCCTTGTGTAGTCTCCTTCCACACTGTACCAGGTGTTGGTCCATATGAAATACAGCAGAATGATGGTGTGTCACTTCTGAGATTAGGTTATAAGAGACTGCAGCTTCTGTCTTAGGCTCGTCCTTTCTTGGATCATTTACTCTGGGTGGGGGGGGGCGGTGAGGAGCCAGCTCCTATATAAGGGGACACTCAGGTGTCCTATGGAGAAGTCTAGGAGGTGAGGAACTGAGGTCGCCTGCCAACAACCGTCAATGATCCACAGACTTCAGATGACTGCAGTCTCAGCTGGTAGATTGACTGCAACCTCATGAGAGACCTTAAACTAGAACCATCCAGATGACCCCTCCCAGATTCCTGACCCAAAGACACTGTGAAAAAATAAATGTTGTTTTAAGGTACTAGATGTTGGGGTCATTTGTTATGCAGCAATAAATAACCAATACACTTGATTTCACTTATTTCCTATTTCACCAGCTTTTTTTTTTTTTTAAAGATTTGAGAGAGAGAGAGAGAGAGAGAGAAAGAGAGAGAACATGAGTAGGAGAGGCCTCAAGCTAAATGCAGAGCCTGATTCCATGACCCTGAGATCACACAACCTGAGCTAAAACCAAGAGTTGGTCACTCAACTGACTGCACCGCCCAGGTGCCCTATCACTGGCTGTTTTTTCTGTGTCCTTTGTTGGTTCCTCCTCCTCTTTTAACAAATCTCTAAATGTTGGGATTCTTTAGGGTTCAGTCTCTATATCTTTTGAACCTATCTCTATAGGTTCACTCTCTGTATCTTTTATCCTGTGATTTTTAAGTACCATCTTTATACTTTATCTCCAAACCTTTGAATTGCAAACCTACCTGTTCAACTTCATACCTTGCCTTTCTACTTTGATGTTTCACACACATCTCAAACCTAACATATTAAAAATGGAGTGCTTGGGTGGCTCAGTCGGTTAAGCATCTGACTTCTTGGTTTCACTCAGATCATCTCAGAGTCATGACATCCAGCCCTGCATCGGGCTCTGTGTGGAGTCTGCTTGAGATTCTCTCCCTTCCCTTCTCCCTCTGCCCCTCACCCTGCTCTCATGTGCTCTCGCTCTCTAGAATACATAAAATCTTTTAAAAAAGTGGAATTCATGATTTCCTTCCCATTCCCCAACCTGTTCATTCCTCCCTTTCCTATCATTCTCTCCAATCAAGGCCACAATCTAGATAGCAACACTATTTCCTCCCTTTCTCTAAACTAATTCATTCCATCAGGAAGACCTGTCAATCTCATTTCTAATACATATTTACAATTTTTCATTTTCTCACCATGATCATCATTACCTCACTTAAACTACTAAAACAACATCCTAACTGATCTCCCTGCCCAGTGTCAACCATTTCTCACATAGCAACTTAAAGATCTTTTTCAGATAGATCATGTCATACCTCTGATTAAAACCTTTCAACAACTTTCCACCCCCCATACATGCAGAATAGTAGAGTTATATTGAGCTATTAATGGTTAGGTTTTTTTCTTTTAATATAGTTCACCCATTCAACAAATACTGAGCACCTACTAAATGCTTGGGACTTATCAGTGCACCACATAGGCCAAAGATTACTTTTTCCACATTCGGATGGTGGTGGTGGTGGTGAGGCTAGGGGCAAGCTGTACAGTGAGAGAAAAATGAGAATTTATCCCATGAAAATGAAGTGATTTTTTTATCTAGTTGAGCTGGTAAATTGGATTGTGAGGAAAGAATGCCCGAAGCACAGTGTTAAATTCACAACTAGGGCCCAACATTGGATTTAACTGACACAAGACTGGTTGCTAATTATAACTTTGAAATCCTTTAAGGTAGTTTAAGTCCCCAAACATCAAAGTAATAACGGTTTTAGGGCCTAAGGAAGAAAGTGCAGCCCAAATATTAATAGAAAATGCGCTATGGCTTTTCTTTGAAATTCTGTCCAAATCAAACGTGGCTTGCCTATTTATAATCTGACTTCTATTTCTGGCAGACCAAGCTATATTGGGCTGTTTCTCGGCTGGCACAAATGATCGTTATGCTTCGGGCTCTGCATTATTTTTATGCCTATGCCAACATTCCGAGGTGCCGAAGTGGTAATGCTTTAGCAGCGTCGATAGGAAAGAAGCACCAGCCTCTGATGCTAACCAGGACAGCCTAACTTGCTCAGAGCTCTGCGGTGCTAACTCCGTTGGGGGTAGCAGGGTTGGTCTGACCCCGCTCTGGAAAGGGGGCTTAGCTCGTGGCCCTTTTTCTACTATCGAAGTGCGTTTGGCACATTTTATATCAAAGCAAGGCGACACTTCCAAGTTTCAGTTAAGGCGTCCAAGAAGAGACTCGGCGCTTGCTGGCAAAAGGAGACTGGGTGTGCGAACAGCTCTCTGGCCTCCCTGTCTTCTCCTCGGCGTGAGATTGGCTTTTTGCTTTTGGGCTGCGGCGGCGCCACAGAAAGAACAGACCAAACAAGCAAAAAGTGGGGCCGACGGAGAGGTCCAGAGCGTACCTTCAAAGCCAGGTAGAGACTGGCGCGAATTCTGCCGTGTGGCCAGGAGACCTCACGGCCTAACAAAACACCCCGCCCACCGTCCACCGTCACCGCCGCGAGGCGGCAAGCTCCAGGCCGGAGGGCGGAGCCGCCAGATCATCGCGCGAGACCACCCACGAGACTTCCCAGAAAGCCTCAGGCAACATCTTAATAGCTAGGGAGCCGGTTTAGGGCGGAAGGGTGGGCGGGGCTAGTCCAGATATTTAGCGGCACTGGCGGCCACGCCCCAAATCGGAAGTGACGGAGACGAGCTAGCGCGTCGAAGATACCTCTATGGTTTTCCTCCCGTTCTTGAGTCGGGAAATGGCCGCTGTGTAGTTACAACGGAGATAAGTCCCGGGAACGGTGCTTTCGGCGTTTCAGGTAGGCCTCATGCTGCATTCAAATCACTCAAAGGGCAGTAAATACCGAGGACGAGTGACTATTGTTGAATCTTTTGTGGGTAGTGACGGTTGGCGGTTACAGGAGGATCCAGGAGACGTTTCGCCGTTATTTATGCGTTTCTCCATCAGATCCCCTCAGGTTTTTGGGGCACTATAGGTCGAAAAGGTGGGGGGTGGGGCGAGCAGCGAGAACGGTGCGCGCGCGCGGTTACGAACCTGGCTCGAAACCCAGAGACCGCGCGGCCTTTCCGTGCGCGTGCGCATATCTTCCTCTTCAACCCTTCCCCCATTTCTTCGGCCCGGTCCCTTGCGCGCGCCCGACTGAAAGCTCGCCCGGCGCACGCGCGCTTCCTCCTTTCTCCGCCCACGGCCCCTGAGGCAGCTGGAGGTGCAGCTTGTGTTCGCTTCTCATTGGCTGGGAGCGCCACCTTTCTTCCAGGCTTTGGGGCTTTGATAAAACAGCTACGACCTGCAGCAAAGTGCTTTGGGTAGGTTGACCCGTTTTCGCGTCGTCTTTAAATTCCCTTTTCCCGGTTTCACGCTACCCGTCGGTTTACGCCCCGTTTTTTTGTTATTCCCTTAAGAACGTGGTCTGCTGCCCCTCGTCACTGACGCGGGTATCCGCCTCCGGCCCTCGGCGTCGCGGGACAGTTTTCTCCGAGGTTAATCTCGGATACCCCTGGCAACCCACTTTGTTTTGAAGCGAACGTGTGCACTCGACTCTAAGAGTTGGTGCCTAGTTACCGTTTCCTGGTTTGGGGAGCAGGCCTTAGCTGATGAGTGGCCCTGTTTTTTCTCCCCCGCCCCCTCACCCCTCGCCCAAAAGGCAGTCTTCCAGTAGTACAAGCGAAACCACGTCTTTTTGGCAAGTGATTCAGGTCTTTATATCGAGTCAGAGATGTTGCAATCATGAGAGGTAGACAGTTGGGGTAATTGGGTGGGAGTGGTGAGTTAAGGTTAAGGACTTTGCCCCCACTTTAAGTCCATAGGTTGGCTTTCTTCACATTTAAGATTCATCTTATCAGAATCAATCAGCGGTGCTGGCAGCTACTTTTCTATGTCTTTTTTTTTTTTGTAGAGTTTAAGTTGAAAAAATTAAGACTGAAGTTGAAGGCAAATGTGACCAAAACTGATATAAATAGATGAGTTACTTCAGACACATCTTTTTGCAGCAGCGCCTTTTAATTTATCTTCGGTATTAAAAAGGAAACCAGAATTCCTTAATCTTCATGTAAATTCTCATTCCAATTGACTATATTTGGAATGGTTGGGCTACTGCTTAGACAGTAGAGAATCTTTACATAGGAAAAACCACTACAAGCTTATTTGCATTTTTATGTGATTCTAGCCAATTCAGGATAAATAATTCTTTTTTTTTTAAAAGATTTTATTTATTTATTTGAGAGAGAGAATGAGATAGACTAGAGAGCACGAGAGGGAAGAGGGTCAGAGGGAGAAGCAGACTCCCTGCTGAGCAGGGAGCCCGATGCGGGACT